AGTGAGGTGTATTTTGTGTGGTCTGCAACTATTGCAAGGCGATTTGGCCTGATTGTTCTTATAGACTCTAATTGTTGTAGTTTTATAGATTATTTGGCACATAGAGAAGCTGCTAACCATACCATGCCTGGCGTCAGCTTGGACCCCTCGCCAAATCTAGGCGATGAAGTCATTATCCCGCAGGATTGTGCCGAGTCGGGCCTAGAGGCCGTGATCGGAGACCTTTTATTACAGACGGATGAAGATGAAGACGGAAAAGCCAGTGATGAGCGTTTTTATGAGCTTGAACTTAATCTTCAACGAGCCGTGCAAGAGATACATAGCGATTTGAAGGTTTTCGGCAGAAGTATCGAGGCACGTCTGGAGGAAGCAACGCCTGTAGTCGAGGCCATTTCCACCTTACAACAGGAGAATGCAAGTTTAAGGATCTTGCAAGAGAAGCTTGCAAGGCAAGTATTGGCGCTTTGTGATGCTCTCGGACTGCCTGAACCGAAACTGACCGAAGAGGAAGACGTCGATCCAGAAAATAGCAATCCATCTGATGTTGAAGTAAACCAAGAGATACAGCCTCCTGCGTTTGCTGCTGTTTGCCACACATCGCCTGTGTCGTCTCCAACCGGCAGTGTCTCGCGGAGCAATAGCATGGTAGTATAAAGGCCTGTTTACACCGGGACGAATTTCACGCGCGATATTCGCCGACGTTTAACGCCTCGTGACTAAACAAAGGGCGCCAATGTGAGTGTGCACACCGACGCGAAAAACGCCACGCGTAAAAGCGTAATATTTTAAAAAACGCCTCGGGTTCGTTTTTTTGGTTTGACGCGCCGCGTCAAAAACTATCCGACCAATGAGATTGGCGCTTTTGCTCACGTGTCTGGAGCTTCTGAAGTTACAGTAAAACACAACTTGGGGGCGCTCAAACACAAAACGGTCTTGCCGAGCACACACACGTAACGGCGAAGATGATATACGCCAAGTAGCGTCTACACTGCCGGGAAGAAATAAGACGAGGAAGATGCGAGGCAAGATGAATGTAGAGCTGCTGGTCCCGTTGGTGTCGGAACATAAAGAACTATAAGACAAACGCGACAGCGACTACAAAATAGGACTATTTCTGTTTACATTAAGCGCCATCTAATGTCAGGGAATGAATTTGCATGTTCACTCGGCTCATCGTCAGCGAAAATCGCTTGGGTGTGAACACAAAAAACGCGTTGAAAAACGGTGGCGAATAACGCGCGCCGATATTCGTCCCGGTGTGTACGGCCCTTAAGTGTGTGTGTGTGTGTATTTTCCAGACCTTGCTGAGGCAAAGAATCACTACTGCTCATACATTCTGCGATAACGTAAGCGAAAAACAGACTACGCCATATCTAGAGAGCACTTGGGATGGGCTCTTTTGATTTAGGAACTAATAGCAATGCACTGGCAACCACCAACAACACCTAACTTTGTGATTTCATCCTGTGAGGAAGATGCAAAATACGCATATTTTGAACTTTTGCAAAATTGGATTAGTTCGTATTTGAATGATGGGAAATTGTTCTTCCTTTATGAGTCTGGTGTCATCATTTGGATGGTTTTCGTTTTGAAAGAATCGTTTTTTCCACTGTGTGTTATTAGCCATATGCACTTATGGTGAATAATGTGGACTGGAAAATCTGCCAAGGAAACGATCTAAATGTAGGGGTTCAAGTTAAAACTTTAAGATACTTAAGATTTTCTTTCATTGAAACCTGTGCCATTCAAAAATAGACAAGGCTTCGTTGGAAACGAGTGTAAATATCCCATCCAAAGTCCCATCTAGGATGAATAATTGATTTTGTGTGCATTAAGTTATGCTTCAAATAGATTTTATGGCTTAGCACAGTTCATTTGAAAACTAATGAATCATGTGGCCCATTGCTGTCTGATTCATTGAAAGTCTTAGTGTTTGAGTTTGCTTCCAGGAAGAGATTTGATTCAGTCAGGGCAGATTTTCCAGGGATCTTTTGATTTAGGGCAAGTTGTGCTTTAGGTATAGTACAATTAGTACAGTGAGTAGTAGGAAAAAGTCGGTAGTAATTTAATTTTGCGTGCATGTGCTAAAGTGGACATTAGATTTGAAAACAGTAAGGTTTGTTTTCAGCTTGGAATATGCTTTAGCTGGTCAAACGTGGGCTGAAAAGCATCTGAATTTGCTAGTGTGCAGCAAAGCCTAGCTAATCAGGGATTAGTAAAAGGTAAAAAGATGGTAACTCGTCGTGGCACGAGATTTGCAGCGAGTCTGAGTCTATTTCTGTGTGTCTGGTGCAGGTCTTTGTATGTGTTTGGTGTGGGATGATGCGCTTCACTGTGAGTGGATGCGATGATTTTAGCACAAAGTTAGCACATTACCTTATGAGATTAATTAAATAAGTCTAATGCCGTTAAATACATTTAACACCCTTAATGCATTAATCTGATTTGACGTAACTGTATCATGCAGATCATAAAGTTGTCTGAAGCATCCCATACCATGGGTATCTAATTCTCCATTCTCTTTTTTTTTCATTGCATGTTTTTTAATTAAAAAAAAAAAATTTTTTTTATAATTTTTAGTGAATCTTTTTTATTAATTTATTTAAGCAACATACATTTTGTACAAATACAAGTATGAAAAATGATGCATACAATACATACAAAAAAAGCAACTATATAAAAAAGAAAAGAAAAAGAAAAGGGTGCCAGGGAATAATAGCATAAATACCAGAATAATGGTGCATTCAGGTATAAGGATATCAAATACAGATTTTTTAAATACATTTACAGCGTGTCAACAAACTCAAAAGAATAAAAAAATAAATTAAATAAAAGCATTTTTCATATTTTTCAGGATAATCCGTGAAACCAAAGAGTACATTTTCCCATAAGAGAGAGACTGAATATTTTCATTAATACATTTGTGTACCTTACACCACAGTATAACAAAGTACAATGCCAAAATAAATGCAAGGTGGTTTCGTGATAATTATAACAGAAAGTACAGTTTAAATTTATATAATTTTTAAATTTTTGTAAAGAATGATTAGCTGGATATGAATAGGTTTAAAAGATATTTCTTTAACCTTATTTCTAATATGAAACTTCTGGGGTAACAACAACCACAATTTATCCCAGCAAGCAAATCACCTTAATATTTGTCCATTCACTCAAAGTGCTAATGCTCTAAACCCTCTCCGTTACGAACCGCCCGGCTCGGCCCGACATGCACTTCCAGGGCGTTTGTTGAAGGAGAGATCAGTGAAGAAGCGAGTGTGACACGGATGAGAGCGGCCGGCTAAGGCTCTCAGGGACGTTCACAGAAATCATTGAGCTCTCATTCCTGTCTAAATGTCAGCGAGCTTCCACGGCTTTTGTGTAAACACAGCTGTAGACATAGATCAGATTCAGAAACATTCCCTCCCTTCCACCAGCCCCTTTTTCCATCTCCTCTTTCTGCTGTAATGGTTTCACTCGCTCTCTGCTCTTTCTTGCCCATCTCTCCATCACTCTGCTCTCTTTGCCAGGTTTATTTTTGGACGAGTATTTTTATTGTCCGTGCTCTTAAATCCTGATGTCAATTGTGTTGCTGTCGATTATAACCTACTTTAGGGATTAGCTGTTCAGATTTATAAATGTCATCACTGTGTTTTTAGTGTCATAGTATCAGATCTTAATAGGCATCTGTCTGTCTGTCAGCTCCTTGTACACTGAGTCCGAATTTTTCGTATGCGTTTTTTCGTATTCGTCATTCGGTGGCTCTGAGTTGTCAAAACACCATTCAAAATGCTTGCTAACCCGATCCGAATTTTTTTATGACGGACGAAAGTTTCAGAGGCAGTGTGTAAACGTGATTGACAAAACACGAGGTCGTATTTATTTTTTAACGTGTGAACATTTCGGACACAAATTTCAGATTCTGTGTGCAAGAAAGTTATTCTTAGTTTCCATACACTTTTCACTATAATGCATTTTAACACATTGCAACATGAATTTTGTGATGATCATGCATCTTTCTACAATTGCAGTGGCAACTTTTGAGTGTTATACATGGTTTTATAATACATTTGAAATTTTTTGTAAATTTGAAAGTTAAAAATAGTTTCCAAATAAGTCGGGAAGCCATTTATTTGAAACCTAGAATCAGAGAAATTGAACTAATTGAAAAAATAATAATAATTCTAATTAAAATGTTAATAGTGTGTAACTGCTGTTATCACAACATAAAAACAACAAAAGGGACGCTTAAGTTCGTTCTTAAGCTAAAGACCATGTGTGGTGAGGCAAAAGTCAGTGAATTTCTACGTTATATTTTTACATTCAAGTCCATGGAAAAATATCAGTATTCTCGAGGGGCATTTTTGAATTTTCAATGATGTTATTTGTGCTATATGTATAACCTTGTTACACCATTTATGATAGCTTGTTCCTCAACATCTTTTAGAATAATGATAAAAATATTATATCATATATCATATACCAGAGTGGTGAATTATGTGTTCAAATGCTGTTGTCACCATAATCCTCATGCATTTCTTCTGTTTATTAGCTACAGTACTTTGTCAAAAGTATAGCTTGACTCTGGTTTAACTGGTTTAAATAAGTAGCTTGACTCTCAATGTAAAAAAAATAATAATAATCTGAAAACTTTAACGGTAAAAAAACAGCAGCTTTGGTTGCCGGTACATAAGATGAATCCAAGTTCATCGGGAAAAAACTTTTCCACAAAATGATTTTTCACTGTAAATTATACGATTTTTCACTTCTAAAAAATGTATAGCCTTTTACAGTAAAAATTACATTAAATCTCCCATTAGACCATTTCAGTTTTCACTGTAGAATTGGGGAACTTGCTATTAACCAATTAACAGGTTTTTACTATAGCATTTGTACAGTTTTGTTTTTAATTATGGTAATTTTTGATAGTGTACCTTTTATAATGTATACAGGTGTCATGTTGCTGTCTTTCTATCCCTCCACACACACACACACACACACAGATGGAGACGGATCCCATTTCTCTTGTGGGTGAATCTGTGAGTGGGATGGCTCATGAAGTCCCGGTGCTTCCTAATGGCTCATCCATGACCTCCATCAAAAGAGAGGAACAAAGTGAGAAGCTGACCTCAGAGAAGCTGCAGGACATCGAGGACGAGGAGATCCTGGACAAAATGGTGCTTCATTTCTCCCACTGACCTTTTGAACACTTATACACTCACCGGCCACTTTATTAGGTACCCCATGCTAGTAACGGGTTGGACGCCCTTTTGCCTTCAGAACTGCCTCAATTCTTCGTGGCATAGATTCAACAAGGTGCTGGAAGCATTCCTCAGGGAGTTTGGTCCATATTGACATGATGGCATCACACAGTTGCCGCAGATTTGTCGGCTGCACATCCATGATGCGAATCTCCCGTTCCACCACATCCCAAAGATGCTCTATTGGGTTGAGATCTGGTGACTGTGGAGGCCATTTTAGTACAGTGAACTCATTGTCATGTTCAAGAAACCAATTTGAAATGATTAGAGCTTTGTGACATGGTGGAAGTAGCCATCAGAGGATGGGTACATGGTGGCCATAAAGGGATGGACATGGTCAGAAACAATGCTCAGGTAGGCCGTGGCATTTAAACGATGCCCAATTGGCACTAAGGGGCCTAAAGTGTGCCAGGAAAACATCCCCCACACCATTACACCACCACCACCAGCCTGCACAGTGGTAACAAGGCATGATGCTTCCATGTTCTCATTCTGTTTACGCCAAATTCTGACTCTAACATCTGAATGTCTCAACAGAAATCGAGACTCATCAGACCAGGCAACATTTTTCCAGTCTTCAACTGTTCAATTTTGGTGAGCTCTTGCAAATTGTAGCCTCTTTTTCCTATTTGTAGTGGAGATGAGTGGTACCCGGTGGAGTCTTCTGCTGTTGTAGCCCATCCGCCTCAAGGTTGTGCGTGTTGTGGCTTCACAAATGCTTTGCTGCATACCTCGGTTGTAACGAGTGGTTATTTCAGTCACTGTTGCCCTTCTATCAGCTCGAACCAGTCTGGCCATTCTCCTCTGACCTCTGGCATCAACAAGGCATTTCCGCCCACAGAACTGCCGCTCACTGGATGTTTTTTCTTTTTCGGACCATTCTCTGTAAACCCTAGAGATGGTTGTGCGTGAAAATCCCAGTAGATTAGCAGTTTCTGAAATACTCAGACCAGCCCTTCTGGCACCAACAATCATGCCACGTTCAAAGTCACTCAAATCAACTTTCTTCCCCATACTGATGCTCGGTTTGAACTGCAGGAGATTGTCTTGACCATGTCTACATGCCTAAATGCACTGAGTTGCCGCCATGTGATTGGCTGCTTAGAAATTAAGTGTTAACGAGCAGTTGGACAGGTGTACCTAATAAAGTGGCCGGTGAGTGTATACCAGTTATATACAATCTTACGTATATACAATCTCTTAATTATCTAAATCCCTTAATTATTTTCTCCCGACGTGTGTCCAAAAATCAAGATTTTTTCACCCGCGATATCCGTTCTTATCATTTTGAGAATCACTTTGCTTTGAATAAAACCGACCAATACTTAAATCTCTTACGTGACATGACATGTGAAGGCCAAGCATGGCAACCCATACTCAGAATTTGTACCCTTTATTATTTAACCCATCCAAGTTAGTGCACACTTTCAAGTTTTAAGTTCCTGGTGGTGCATGATTCATTAGTTCACATTCATTAATTGACAAAGACATCTTTCTGAAATGCATATCATGATGGAAGTATTCATTATAATTATATTTTGTTAATTTGTTTGGGTTGCTTTTTGATTTTACAGCTCGATGATAGCAAAGATTTTGAAGAAAGGAAAATGATCAGGACTGCAATGAGAGAACTGCGCAAGAAAAAGCGAGGTGATTATCTCTACATTTGTTTTATTGTACAGCACTCACCTCTTGTTCTCCTCTTTCTTTTTTCTCTCTATATACTGATGGGTGTATTTCAACATAAAGTGTAGAGACAGTCTGTCATCTTTACTTCCCTATGGTTCAGCCCTGTTTCTCTCTCTTTGCTCTCAGAGGCTAAGCTGGGATGCACACAGGAGGAAATGGGTAGGGTTTCTGGATTGTGTGTGTGTTTTTGCCCTACTGAACCCTTGCTAATGCCCAGGGCCTTAGTGAAGGGTCATTTAGAGCTTCATTGGCTATAGATTTGGTTTGTAGTTGCAGATACGGTATGTCGTTTTTATTCACTGAAGTGCCACGTGTGATTTTGTCATTGTATTATTGTTGTTTGATCCTGCATGAAAGTGAATGTAGTTCGTAATCATATGGTACTGCTTGCTTTGTGTTTGCTTGATCAAATTTACACACATGGTGCTATGTTCATCTGTGGTGTAGGGGTGTGTGATATATATATAAAAAAAAAAAAAAACTTCTATATTTTCTGCCAATATTTTGCTGAATACTTAGTGGGTTTTTGTGCTGGTACATTGACTGGTTTAGGCCTGTCATGGACAGCTGAGTCCCAAAGCTTTTTATATTTTGTGAGGTGATTGGTTTCACAGAAGCTGCATTATGTGTGTACAGTGTTTAATGCAGCTCAGAGGTAACATTAATGCATTTACACTGCAATAACTACTGAATAAATGATGGTATTTGAGATTAATCTTTAAAAATGCCAGCAAGTTACTGTCTTAATGAGTGTGTGAGGGAGTCTTTCAAATGGTTGATTTATTAGGAAACAAGGCGAATGGTTCATTGAATTATTCGCTCACCCAATTTGTTCAAACACTGTTTTATTCAGAAACAAAACCCTGCTGTCTATTTCTCGGACATCTGTTCTGCTTTGGCTCTATAATATACAATATTTATATTATTGTTTTTAATGTAACTCACAATATTAAAGCTGCAGTCCGTAACTTTTTTGGGTTAAAAATTATCCCAAATAATTTTTTGAGCAAGTACATAACCAGCCAGTGTTCAAAACTCTCTGCTTGCCGTAGCTCGATTCAAAACGATAAGCTTCTAATAATGTTTTTAATTTCAGTGGTACTGGTGGATTTCCGCGGGAAATTCGAGCATATCTTTGCATCATTACGTCACATCTGCACACACACATCTGTACACATAAAGAAGAGTCTCGGCTAGTAGGCTATGAGTGTGAGGATGCTGGAGGTGGAGATTTATAGCCTTTTCTCACAGCACTTGATATAATTAAACTTATCAATTTGATGGCGGATCCAGAAAGGTTCAAACGACAATCACCAGTGACAACAGATTCACCCGCTGTAAAATGCAAAAGACTTCGGACTTCGGAGTGGCTACAGAAAAAAAGAGACTGCAACCGGCCCATGCGAACACAAGGATAATATCGGAAGGGCATTAATTGTAGTCACGCAATGCTGATGTTGTTATCATCAATTTGAGAACAAAGTATGATTTGCACGGTTTGACGTGATATGGTAAGCGATCGTTAGATTTAATCAGCGCGATTTACTGCAATGCTTTTTTCCCCTTAGTTGGTCAGAAGTGGAAGTGCATGTTACTTACTTGTTCAGACATTTTTCCGGTGAAAATTCTTATGTTGGTCATATTTCCAAAAAGCATAATCTGTGATTCTGAATGCCAGAATCCACACCGGTGCGCCGACAGCGACCGCCGAGGCACAACCCACGTAAAGTTAATAATTCGGCGAATATCTGCAATTGCAGATTTCGAACAGAGATGGCGACAAAGTGGAAAAACTACGGACTGCAGCTTTAAATTAGTTTGTTACACTATTGTATAAAATCAACATCACATTTGGTATACTATCACATCAATATCACGATTTTCAATCATTCTGACATTGGTGAAAACCATGTCAGCTCGCACAATGTTAAAACTACAATTGCGATATCGTAGACAATAAATATCACACAACCCTACTATGGTGTTAATCTTAAGATATTAGCACTTTCACACGAGTGCTGTGAAAGCGATATAGTTTCGGAAGTGTGTGATTTCTGTCACCAAAGTTGCAAAAATAATGTTTTCAAACAGGTTTCCCGAACACACTCCCTAGTCAGATAGTCCCGCGCATTGATCACTTTGGAAAAGTACTGATGTGATCTTCACCTTAATTTTTCTTCCCCCCTTTCAAACATCATCCTGACGCTGTTGGTTTTGCCCGTGTCCTCAGACCAGAGAGAGAGGGAGAGAGATGTGCGTCTGCAGGAGCTCAGACAGCAGCGGGTGGACAGATCTCAGAAAGGTCGGGGGGGCGCAGACACCAGTGAAGTGGTGATGAAGAAGATTGAGCGGTCCACAGACGGCTCCACTACCAGCCAGATCACCAATCGGGTTTCCCATTCAGGTACCACAGCAGTAATGTAGTGGCCTCTTGATCTTTTTATTTTTCCTCTTCAGTGTACTTGTAAAGTTCAGGGTTCAAGTCTGGGATTCTTGCTCCAAAAGCAGTCATAATTTAAAGGGATAGTTCACTTTGAAATTAATTTTTGGTATGTTTTAGCTTACCTCAAGGGCATCCAAGATGTAGGTGTCTTTGTTTCCGCAGTAGTTTCAATTTTGATATTTTTAGGTCAAACCGTTCTTGTCTGTCAGTCATATAATGCAGGTCTATGGTCACCACCTCAAAGAGCATGCACAGAGAAGTCCAAATTAAACATGATTTAATGACTCGTAAATGTAAGTACACATTGATGGCCTAAGACACGAAACGAGTGGTTTGTGTGAGAAAACGAACATTATTTATATCGTTTTATATCGTCTCTCGCGCGTGTACGTCATACAATTGTTTTATTTTGACCGCATGACCCTAGGAATCAAACAAGGTTTATATAATACCTGGAGAAAGCTAATGGTTAGTAAACACTAGCAACTATATTGAGCTGTGAAGTGAAAACCAGCAGACCGAGGTCCTTTTCACACTTTTTTAATAAAACGTTCACTTTTAAAACATCTACTGCAATATAGTGAAATATTTGTGTACCTTTAAAATTGTATTTGTGTCAGTTTTGACACGTAATAGGTACAAAAATACACAGGAATGTATGGCACAGGAATACAACTTTGGGAATGGGTTAAGACTATCAAAATACACATATTGTTTACCTAAAGTTTTCAAATTATTATTTTTTAAGATATGACCATTAACTAAAAGAGTACATTGTAACATCTATTGTGTTTCAGGTCAATTTACCCTGGTATCAACTCAGGCTTTACATAATGTTATGCCAACTTTTTTTAATCTTTTGGTTAGATTTGTCTCAAAAGTAATTTTGTTAAATATATTTAGGCTAGTCTCTTTTAGGGCTGAATTGTCTTTGTAAACATGAATATGCACTCTCAAACACTGTAAACAGACAAACGATGATATAGAAATAACAAATCAACTATATTTGGACCGTTTGAGAAAAAAAAAATCTATATGTCTTGCATTGTTTTATTTTAGGAGTTCATGTAAAGTTAGATTTTACTTGTTCTTTATCTAATTTTATTGAGTACCAACACTTGCAGGTTTGAGGTCCAATTTTTTTTTAGGCTGCCTGATCCTTTAATAACAGCCTCTTGTTCTGTATCTAATTTTATTGTGACACTGTCAACTCACATTTCTTTATATGGTGCTTTATACAGAACATATTGTTTCAAAGCAGCTTCACCTTAATAAACAGGAAAATAACACTGTTAATTTTGTAAAATTAATAATTATGAAATAAATTTAATTTCAGCTGTAAAGCAGCTCTAAAGAAGACAATAGTGTCCTTATTCAGCTCAGTTTAGTTCAATGTTGATTCAGTCCGGTTCAATTACTGTCCCACTGTTGAAAAGTTAATGTCATTATCCAGCTCAATTTGACCCTTCGCCAGGGAGTTGATTGACAGCCGATCTGACCAATCATAATCCGCCGAATCCGCCATTTTTGTCCGACAAAGAGTTACGATGGGAGGATTTGAACTTGAAAAACAGTGAACTTGATGCTATAAATTAGAAGGAAGAGATGATCGGTTCACGAGCAGCTTTAAGAGGCTCTACAGCGATCTGTCAGACACATTAAAGAGCCACAAAACGGTATTTATTGTTTAAATTTAGTTAAAAAATAACCAAATTTGAAAGTTGAGACTATCATATCAAAAGTAACCTGGTCTGTCGGCACGTTGTCCGTGTCCTCTCTGCTCCGTGATGTATTTTTCACTGCGTGAGAACATGATGTGTGGCGTGAGAGAGGCGTGGCTTGTCGGACATAGCAACAGTAACTAAAGGGGGCGGGTCTTTGCGAACGGTCAATTCAGTTCAAATTTTGTTTTAGAGTCAGTGCAGTTATATTACCGAATACTAATTATCTTTTAAACCCCACTGTCATTGGTTGTGTGTGCAGATGATACTGGCAGGACGTCCCGCAGCACTATCATGGAATCCAGCTATGTTCAAAAGACAGACAGTGAGTTTATTGAACTCTTTTTGTATTCTGTATTTATTTAGTCTTCATTTTTGATCAGCACCCATATCAAACCCTCTTCTCTCTCATCTCAGAGGGTTCAGTGCAAACAAAATCCTACAGCTACTCCAGCACAACGTCCACTAGGAAGGTCGGAAGGTGAGTGTTTTAAAGTCGACATGAATTCAAAAATTACCTTATTTACTTTTCTTTTTTGGGCCTGGTTTTATTGTGCACGATTATGCAGTTAGTTCATTTTTAAATTAATTATCAAATAATTATTCAGGTATTCGATGACTGAGTAATGAAGTTAATTTTGAAGTAAATCACATTGCGTCCTACGTACACTACCGTTTAAATGTTTGAGGTCAGTAAGAGTTGTTTTTAAAAAGAAATTAATTAGGGTAATAATTCGATAATTCTTTATATTTGAAAGCCGATAAATCTAAATCCAAATTTTTGCATAATTTTTCTGAGCCTGTTTACAAAAACAAAGGTCTCACCATTTAAAAGCAGCTGTGTCCCAAGCACACAATTATAATTTTATGTCGCCTATATGACAGACTTGTTGCGCATCTAAAGTGTCTCAGCTGAAGGAAATAATCTCTCTCTCTCTCTCTCTCTCTCTCTCTCTCTCTCTCTCTCTCTCTCTCTCTCTCTCTCTCTCTCTCTCTCTCTCTCTCTCTCTCTCTCTCTCTCTCTCTCTCTCTCTCTCTCTCTCTCTCTCTCTCTCTCTCTCTCTCTCTCCCCTCTCTCTCCCCCCTCTCTCTCTCTCTCTCTCTCTCTCCCCCCCCTCTCTCTCTCTCTCTCTCTCTCTCTCTCTCCTTCAGTGTTTTTGACCGCGAGGACAACACGTCTCGTAGCTCAAGTAGATCGTCAGCTGTTGAGCGCAGACCGACAGAGAGATCAGAGCTGGTGAGGGCTCAGACGTTACCCAAGTCATCTGCCGCACAGGCTCGGAAAGCCATGATAGAGAAGCTTGAGAACACCGGAGGCTCCGGAGGGTGAGCGCATGGCTTTCTGACACTTTCAGGCTCATTTAGCTCACTGAAGTACCACATATTCAGCAGCATTTCTCTTTCTGCCTATAGCAACTCAGCAATCACTCAAGTAAACAAGGTGCAGCGCTCCACAAGCTTCGGTGTCCCCAACGCAAACTCCATCAAACAGATGCTGCTGGACTGGTGCAGATCCAAGACCCGTTCCTATGAGGTAACAGGAGATCGATAAAACCTCAGTCATCATTTGCTTACCCTCAAGTCGTTTTCTTTTTCATTTAACACAATTATTTAGCATGTGCTTACCATTAAAAAGTGAACGAGGTCTGCGGGTATCAAGCTCTAAAGATGACAAATCAGCACAAAACTTCCCTAAAAACATTTGGACTGGGAATACATGGAATATAGTGCATTAGTGTGATATATCTTCTGGAGTAAAACTATAGCTTTGTGTGAGGAACAGACTGTCATTATTTACTCATTTATGATTTCTCATTCACACAATTTCTTTAAGATGTGCTGTATTTTTATTAAGATTAAGAAATTAATACATTTATTCACCAAGGATGCATTCAATTGATCAAAGATGACAGTAAAGACATTTATAAAGTTACAAAAGATTTCGGTTTCAAATAAATGTTTTACTCTATTCAACAAAGAATCCTGGATCCTTGCATCACAGTTTCTACAAAAATATGAAGCAGCATAACACTGATAATTAACAGAAATGTTTCTTGAGTATCAATTCATCATATTAGAGTGATTTCTGAAGGATCATGTGACACTGAAGACTGGAGTAATGATGCTGAAAATTCAACTTAGATCACAGGAATAAATTACATTTTACAATATATTCAATAGATAACAGGGTTACACTTTATTTTAAGGTGTCATTGTTACAGTGTAATTATATATTTAAGTACTGAGTCATATTAAGCAACTACATATACACTCACCGGCCACTTTATTAGGTACCCCATGCTAGTAACGGGTTGGACCCCCTTTTGCCTTCAGAACTGCCTCAATTCTTCGTGGCATAGATTCAACAAGGTGCTGGAAGCATTCCTCAGGGAGTTTGGTCCATATTGACATGATGGCATCACACAGTTGCCGCAGATTTGTCGGCTGCACATCCATGATGCGAATCTCCCGTTCCACCACATCCCAAAGATGCTCTATTGGGTTGAGATCTGGTGACTGTGGAGGCCATTTTAGTACAGTGAACTCATTGTCATGTTCAAGAAACCAATTTGAAATGATTAGAGCTTTGTGACATGGTGGAAGTAGCCATCAGAGGATGGGTACATGGTGGCCATAAAGGGATGGACATGGTCAGAAACAATGCTCAGGTAGGCCGTGGCATTTAAACGATGCCCAATTGGCACTAAGGGGCCTAAAGTGTGCCAGGAAAACATCCCCCACACCATTACACCACCACCACCAGCCTGCACAGTGGTAACAAGGCATGATGGTTCCATGTTCTCATTCTGTTTACGCCAAATTCTGACTCTAACATCTGAATGTCTCAACAGAAATCGAGACTCATCAGACCAGGCAACATTTTTCCAGTCTTCAACTGTTCAATTTTGGTGAGCTCTTGCAAATTGTAGCCTCTTTTTCCTATTTGTAGTGGAGATGAGTGGTACCCGGTGGGGTCTTCTGCTGTTGTAGCCCATCCGCCTCAAGGTTGTGCGTGTTGTGGCTTCACAAATGCTTTGCTGCATACCTCGGTTGTAACGAGTGGTTATTTCAGTCACTGTTGCCCTTCTATCAGCTCGAACCAGTCTGGCCATTCTCCTCTGACCTCTGGCATCAACAAGGCATTTCCGCCCACAGAACTGCCGCTCACTGGATGTTTTTTCTTTTTCGGACCATTCTCTGTAAACCCTAGAGATGGTTGTGCGTGAAAATCCCAGTAGATTAGCAGTTTCTGAAATACTCAGACCAGCCCTTCTGGCACCAACAATCATGCCACGTTCAAAGTCACTCAAATCACCTTTCTTCCCCATACTGATGCTCGGTTTGAACTGCAGGAGATTGTCTTGACCATGTCTACATGCCTAAATGCACTGAGTTGCCGCCATGTGATTGGCTGCTTAGAAATTAAGTGTTAACGAGCAGTTGGACAGGTGTACCTAATAAAGTGGCCGGTGAGTGTATTTGCTATAGGGTTAGGGTAGGATTAGGATTTGGTTGAGGGTTAGTTGCATGTAATTATGCATCATTTACTGTTATTACTATGGTAACTACATGTAACATATGTAACAAAGACACTGTCAAATAAAGTGTTACCGAAATTCACAATATTACTGTTTTAACTGTATTTTTGATCAAATAAATGCAGCCTTGTTGAGACTTCCTTAAACATTTAAAAATCTTCCCAACCACAAACTTTTCAATAGTTGAGTACATCCTTACTAGCTCTCGGTCTTCATGTTTTTTTCTGTCTCCTACACATCATGAAGAACGTGGACATCCAGAACTTCTCCTCCAGCTGGAGTGACGGGATGGCGTTCTGTGCTCTGGTGCACAACTTCTTCCCCGAGGCCTTCGACTACTCCAGCCTCAGTCCCAGCAACCGCAGGCAGAACTTCGAGATGGCCTTCAACACAGCAGAGTGAGTCCATATGCTCATATCACACATCAAATACATGCAAGAGTTCAGAACCATAACACGCCAGGCAGGAATACAATTCAATCCGGGATCTGAATGTTTGCACAATGGGGCGAATTCACTAAACAATTGCAGCTTTTGACTTTATTCACAGAGTCCAACTTTAGCAGGTTTGTGAAATGTGTTCATGAAATGCATTCTTATATGAATTTATGGATTGACTGACAAGTTACATACAATAGAAAACACTCACTCCCTTCAATGCAAATAAGGCATTTCAGAAACACTGGCCTGATGCAATTAATGTGTTGCTGTTACCACAGATGGAAAGCTGGTAGTGAGCAGATTGTTTTGGGCAAGGAGTGCTTGTGTACATAGTTTTAATGACATTATAACCAGGCCAATACATTCTGCGTCTTGAGCCGAAGTGTCTGGATGTCACAGCGGTGGAGTGATGCTGTACAGTCACAGTAAAGTCTGCCAGATTAAGTTCTGCTGAACCCTCAGAACCGGCTGGAGAATAGAGTGCAAAAATCTCCATTCATTGAATTTAACATAAAGTGTGAGCTACGCGATGGTATTTGAAACCATCAGCTGGATTTTCAACTGATTTTAAAAATAGCTTAACAGCTAAATTTGAGGTGAAAAACTACATTACCCATAATACTGCACAGAAAACAAATCACCAAAACACCTCTTTAGCTCCGCCCAGACTACTTAAATATTTGTATTTATATGCATATTTTGCGATAAACTTAAAATATATTGTTTCTATAGATATAATCAACAGTTTTAAATGAGTAGTTTTATATTTCTCCATCGTTTTTTTTTATTCGATTATGCTGTTTGGAGTTCTTTCCCTCACTTAGTACCTTTGTATTTTTGTCCGGTTTTGGAGAGAAATTAATGGAAAAAAATACTTGCTGTAAAAGCAGGCGGGCACTAACTAACTATTGTGCCATGCAATCAATTTGTAGGCGTGTTTGTGGCAATAGCTAATTTGCATAATTTCTTTAGTGAATCAGATTTTGAAACTATGCAGACAGTGTGTGCAATTGATTCTTAGTGAATTGCCCCACGTTTCTATTATTGTCAAACTCCAAAAAACACACTTAGGCAAACAGACTGGTAAGATTTGTAAAAGAAGTCTCAAAGGCTGCATTTATTTGATTAAAAATACAGTAAAAACAGTATTATTGTGAAATATTATTACACTTTAAAGTAGTTGATTTCTGTTGTAATGTATTGTTAAAGGTAATTTATTCCTGTGATTTTTCAGCATCATTACTCCAGTCTTCAGTGTCACATGATCACATGACAAATCAGTCTAATATGATGATTATAACATTATAAATATCTTTACTGTCACTTTTGATCAATTTAATGCATCCTTTGCTGAATAAAAGTGTTTAAAAAATCGTACTGACCTCAAACTTTTGAATGGTATTGTAACTATATAACTATTTTTGTTTTGTTTCTGAGCCTGTTTTAATACAAGCAAACCTATTAACAAGTTCATCTGATCTGCATCTCCAGTCCTCTGAGATTAATCATCTTTTAATAGCTGTCATTTCCTTAAGGCAGGTCCACTTAAATAACTAAACCCTAATTTTAAAATATAATTTACCTTTCTCCTGTGCTCCTTTCCTTTTCCATTTCCCAGTAACATAACATTCATGCATTTAAACATCCAGATAGTGTCTGCTAACGGAGGAGCGTTACTCAAAGTCAGAGTCAGTGTTGTTTGGTTACCTGAGAGTAGGCCTTAACCTGCTTCCCCCTTCTTGACCTTTGACCTGGCTGGTCTGTGTCCAGGTAATTCAGTAGACACTTCCTCATGTCCTCTTCTTTCACCTGACTGAGCACTGGTTTACCTCACTCCCCCTGGCTGTCGTCATCATTAAAGGCACCATCTGTAATGCTTCAGTCTGCGAGTCATTAGCGCTATTCGGCCTGTCGCTGTACACGACTGCACCGTTTACTCGTCTCAAATCACACGAGTCTTGTTTGTTTTTGGTCAAATTTGCAGCATTTGCTAATACATTATTCACATCAATAGTTGAGTCTGTTAATATTATGCAATGGACCTGAGCTAACATGAACTTAATAATGAACAGTTGGATGTTTATTAACTAACGATAATAAATACTGTAACAAATGTATTGCTCGTTGATAGTTAATGCATTAACACATTTTAAATAATGAGAACTTATTGTTATTTGGTAGTTGCCTTGTCGTTTACGCAGCTCAACGTGTCGACTCACAGACTCATTGAAAATGCATGATTGTTAGTATTGTAATTTTAAAATATATTTATTATAATATCTTTTATTTAACTTTTTTAATTTCTTATTTTTTATTTAGTCATTTTAAAATATAAATAGTTGTAGTAATAGTTGGTATTATTATTATTTAATATCCATATTTATGTATAATCACAGCAGCCCTACAAAGAAACAAGCAACAAATTTAAATCGCATTTTAAACCAGTCGCAATTTTTTTATCAGGAAAATATCAATTAGATTTTCCCCCCATAATCGTGCTGCCGTAGTTTTACTCTCACATGACTTGCTTAAGCATTTTTTTGTTGCACTTTAAAATGTTGCTTTGTGAAAGCAAACCGAACCAAAGTGAAAATGTGATTTTTAGTAACAAAATAAGTCCCTGTTTTAAAACAAAGCAAACAATCTTCAGGTCTGAAAACGCCTTAAAGGTGCAGTAAGCAATTTCAGAGAAACTCTGTTGAAAATTTAAATCGACACCCAAACAAACTTCTGGATATTTCTTAGATATCTGGTGTGTGTGTGTGCTGAAAAAACAGCACACACACACATAGTACATTTGTACATAGTACTGGCTATGAAAAAAAGACAAAAACAAAGTGGATTCGAAATAACCCCCTTCAGGCTTATCAAACCTCATCATCCGGTCGGGGGTTATTGTGAGAGAACCACCGGCTGGATGTACATCATCCCTCGCTTACTTTTGTGGGCGGAGCAACGAAAGGTGTGTTTGTTTGGTTGTCGAATTCAATTATCAACAGTGTTTCTCAGAAATCGCCTACTGCACCTTTAAGTCCATCTAATATGTGGGACGGTAGTGATTTTCCAAGCAGTAACAGATGTGTGCCTTTAAAGAGTGCGGTCTGCACTCCTCCAGCATGAGCCGTCACTGAGCTTCTACAGACACTCAACAGGCTGTTTTACAGGCGGACAAACCGGGTTTGTCTGGAGCTGAAGGGTCACATGTTTAGCAGTCACTCTATGCATTGCTGTTATTGTCCCCATACTGTATGTTCTCGTTCACAGGCACATTTATTTTGCATAATGAGATCACCAAATGGATGCATTGTTGTTGCTCTATTTGATGTTGTTTGTCTTTGCACATGTATTTGTTGTGATTGTAAAAGCATGAAAACACTGTCAGAGTTTAATGTGGGCTTTTTGATTTTTGTCTTGTGTGTCTCATTTCTCTCCCCTCACTGGCCCTCGTGTTTCCCACTCCACCTGTTGTTTCTTCGTCCTGTCTCGATCCGCTTTTCTTCCTCTGTGGCCTCGTCTCCGTGAGAGTAGGAAGCTGGCCGACTGTCCGCAGCTTTTGGATGTGGAGGATATGGTGCGGATGCGGGAGCCGGACTGGAAGTGCGTGTACACGTACCTCCAGGAGTTCTACAGGGGATTGGTGCTGAAGGGCTTGGTCAAAACCAAAAACTCCCCCTAGGGTCAAAACTCAGAGCAAAACGGTGAGAGCCAGATCAGATATTGAGGAGAAGCGCAGCTCGCACGGGATTTGAGCTGAACATGGAGCGAACAAACCTTTAAACACATTATTTTATCTTTAGTGAAACTGTGTGTGCAAGTGAAAGGATTGAAAATAACCAAATATAACGTTTTGGGTTTTTTCACTTTATTTGGTTCAAGAAAAAAAGATCCGAGAGCAGGGTTATTATAGGTAACTGAAACTAAAACCATTTCCGTCACTTGAAATCAAATTAAATACTTATACGCTTGTATGCAACATAGTGCACTAAAATAACTAAAACAAAAACAGAAATAAAAATTAAAACTGTAGACATTTTTTTTCCTTTTTTCCAAAAAATATAAAATTACAACCCTAGTGAAAAATAAATATACCAAAATGTATTTGAAATACATTTATTTTATTTGTACTTAATATAAATACCCTGCAATTGTACTTTTGGTATATTACATATATTGTATATTTAAAGTCTGCTAAATTGGAACAGCTAATTTTGTACTTAATGCACTTTAGTTATCCGGTCCAACTAAAGATATACTTGCTAAAATGCAAGTAAATTTCTTGCGTTTAAAGACTTTCCTTAATATTAGTGATATTAAAAAACATTTTAGGCTTAATTTTAAGAAAATGTGTATTGTTCAATAAAGTACAACTCAAAATAAAGTTGAATTATAGTATTTATATCAGTAAGTCTCAAGCGATATGTCAGTAAATATGCCAATGGATTTGTAGAATGCTTAGTGTGAAATTAAATGTATTTTAAATAGTTTTTTTTTCACTAGGGAAACAGATTCAAAAATAATCTCAATCAGCACATATATATTTATCTAATTAATTATGTATCACATGAAGCCATATCGCAATATTGATTTCACTTCGCTATATTGTGCAGCCCATTCATTTATTTACTCATAACATTTTTTGAATTGTACTTAATGTTAAATCATATACACTCACATGACAGGAAGCTTTATAAAAGCATGGAGCAGAATGCATTATGGGAGAAAACATTGAGATTAAAACTGTCACACCAGTCGTCATTGCATTAATGATTTCTGAGAAGGTCTAGCATAATTTGTTGGCAGGTTTAACTTAGTTTGATATTTTCAAGTGTGCCAAAATACTTTCCTAGCGAAGTGTAAGTTAGCAGATGCGCTGGATTCAGGTTTACCACACCTAGACATTCGGCTTAAAAGGTAAGGCCTTTCGGTCTCGCACACGCACCGTGACGAGGTCTTCCTCGGCGTGCTGTTTGTCAGTTTCTGACGATTAGCATAACTAAATATTGTGCGTCTGCCAGCTTGCCCGGTTTGTGGGAGGGAATCGACAAACTGCACTGAAGAGCAGAAACTGCCCAAACATGGTCCTGCTCACACACACGAGGAACGACAGGATCTCAAACACAGCGGTTTAGCTAGCGTTTTAAAGAGCACGTCGGACACAGAACAGAGGCAAACTCGGTGTTCTTCGCTTGTTCCTGGCACATGTTAAATGTTTGCTATCAAGAACCTTGAGTTTAATAAGTAGAACATTTTTCAGAATTCATTAAAACTGAACCTCTATACATACCGCTGACGATCTGGCTGTTCATCGGTTTACAGTAATGCATTTATGATGGAAGTTTATGGAGCGGTGCATTTTTGTATAAATGCATATTTCAGTTTTTAAACCCTTCAAAATTCATAAAAAGTATTTACGTATTTTGACCAAAAAACTATATGCATATAGTTTTGTAAAACAAAGTTCTCTCAATAATATCATACTTGTTTTTCCTTCCATAGTATGAATAGGTCTACATAAAAATAATGGCTAATTGTATAATATGGATATATTTTATACTGTATGTGAATGTTTAAAAACAGAAATATGCATTTATACAAAATTGCACATTCACATACAGTATAAAATATATCCATATTATACATTTAGCCATTATTTTTATGTAGACCTATTCATACTATGGAAGGAAAAACAAGTATGATATTATTGAGAGAACTTTTTTTTTTACAAAACTATATGCATATTTTTTTTTTTTTCGTGGTCAAAATATGTAAATACTTTTTATGAATTTCGAAGGGTTTAAAAACTGAAATGTGCATTTATACAAAACGAATATGAAAATATTTATTTTATATTTAGGGAAGGTTCCTAACATTTTAAAAATAGATTTTTATTTTCAAATCCATTCATACTATACAATAAAAAATAAGCCTTTCCCCCCCCACAAAACTAAATGCATATTTGAGTGTAAATATATATTTATATTTTCCTTTACAATTTCCACACACACCCCCCATTTAAATGTATGCAAGGTTCCTAATATATAAAATAGCTCTATATTTTTATGTAGACCCATTTATACTTTAAAACCAATTTTATCATGTCAGCACACACAATGTTTAACGATTTTCAAAAGGTTTTCCAGCCTCGTTGATTATAGAGATAGACATTTCTGTAGATTTCTTTTTTTTCACAGAATGATTTTCTGTGGTAATTGAGTGCATGATGATTAGAATATATCTGTGTATCGAGTGTCAGTGTCGGTCGTGTGTAGGCTGCATGTACAGCACAGTAGAAATCATGTCCTTTGTATAATGTTTTCCTGTCGTTGTGTCTTTACATTAGGGCCTATGCTAACTGCATGCCCCTGGTGGAGGTGGAGGACATGATGATAATGGGTAAGAAACCAGACTCCAAGTGTGTGTTCACGTACGTGCAGTCGCTGGTTAACCATCTGCGCAGGTATGAGATGATGCTGGCCCGAGCTCAGCAGAGCACTGACTTCTGAACCGTCACACAAATCCTGTTACATTTCAACAGTTACTTTACAGACAGATCCAAACACTTCCCCGTAACAAGACTTTGGGTATTTTTTATGAATGAAAGAGGGGTTTTTTTTAACAGAGCTTTTAAACGAACTGTAGTATGATCCAAAAAAAGTTAAATGTACCGAAATGTTTTATTGATGGAAAAAGAAAATTGCAAGTTCCTAGCAATGTGTTGATGTCTAACTACTTGATTTCACGTGTTAAAAACGAAACATTATTTTATGTTGATTTGCCCATATCTGTGGTTTTAAATGCTTTTAAACCTGTTCCACGGTACTGTTGCTGTTAATGGAGCTCAGACCTGCATGCTTTTTCACAAGTTTACTTGAAGTTTTAGTTTGGTTTTAAAAATTTTCATCTGTATACGATATTGTGTTTATTTAAAAACGTCGCAAGAACATTAATCTCACTGCTTGTTATGGCTTCAGCCATTTTAGTGCGAGATGCAGCTCATGAAATGTGTTTTTCACTCAACTAATTATTGATATTTTCGATTCGTTTTACACTGAACACAGACCGGAGGTGTCAGACATTAGCCTTGTTCCTCGTATTTTGAAGTGATGTAAAACACAAACAGCTGCATGCATGTATAGACGCACTTATGGATGGTGCGTATTTATGGATGAGTATATTTTCTTCATATTCCTGAACTTCATTTGAAAGCAGAGATGTCTTTCCCTAAAACATAAAGCTGTCTTTTTGTAAATCTTTACCACACGGCTTTCAGACAATAAAGAAGTGTAAGTTAAACGGTGTATGTATGAGTAGCCCTAGGAGACATGAGTCAATTTGAGAGTAATAATAATGTATTAGTAGTAAATGGTCAATGATGTTTATATATTTGGTTCTAAAGATGGATTTAGTTTA